AACCAATCATTGGAGAAGGACATCATGCTCAGAAGAGTAGATGAACAGTGCAGTAGAGGAATATCCTGGATGAGATGGATTGACACAGTGACTGGGATAATGGGGTTAGGTGTATCAGAGTCAGCAAGACTGGCTCAGGACAGGGCAGGCTTCAGAGCGTTTGTACTTAGGGTCTCTATGAGTCGTAGTTGACTTCACGGCACCTAACAACAACCTACAATACCCTGCTCCTTCAAAGCACGAGTCAATGGAATCCCAGGAAATGTAGTCGACTAAATGATGGAGTTCTTTCTGAGCTTCATATTTTCAGCTTAGACATCTTGAGCCGCACATGTTCTTGAGTTAAGTCTTGATGTAACGTCACATAGACTTGCTGCTGTTTCATCAGGAGCAGCCCTTAGTGTGGCAGTTGGGAGAGTGAGATGGCAACCAGATCAGAACCGTGAGAGGAGAAGCCAGTCCTCTTCCTGGCCAACAGCTGGGCAACTACTGTGCAGGACTGGAGCGAGGGAACAGTGCCTGCTGAGCCGAGCATGTGAACAGGAGCGAGGGAGCCACACGCTGAGGGCAGGGCGCATGGAGGGGAGGGAGGGAAGTGCGCTGAGGTGCCCTGAGGATGTGGAGGGGAGGGAGGCAAGCGCACTGAGGGTGCATGGAGGGGAGTGAGGGATGCACTGAGGACATGTAGAGGAGCGAGGGACACGTGCACTGAGGACGTGGACTTATTTCCATTTTGACTTGATGCAAGCAAGCATACTTTTCAGCTACAAGAGTTCAGAACTAGCCTTCATCAATCCCCATTCCACACCACTGCACTGCTCAGCTCACATCTTCTTCCTACACTCATCTCTGATTTCTCCCACATTTCATAAATGCACGCCCAGACCTTGACTTTGGTAAAGGATTTGGGAAATTCAAGTTCATATGCTGTGATTTCTTATCAGAGGAGTAATTTGCCACCACTCAATCACTTCTTGGGGCATTACATTTTTTGCCAGTGCCTTCAATGTGCCTTAAGAGCCTGCCGTCATTGACATTTGTTCTTCCTTTGCTGCTTCCTGGAATGGTTCAGTGTTGAATTATTTTTGCTACAGTCACTGTATTCTTTTTGTTTTATTTTGATGCTTCCTCTGTCACTCAAGCTTTTGCCCATAGAATCCTTCAGTATTGCAACTTCAGGCTTGAATTTGTCCTTCAGTTCTTTCAGCGTCAAGAATGGTCTTCCCTTTTGGTTTTCTAACTCCAGTTATTTGCATATTTTGTTATAAAACTTTGTTTTGACTTCTTGAGCAGCCCTTTGCAATCTTCTGTTCATCTCTCTTCAGCATTTGTTTTGGTTTCTAGATCTTCTGGTGCAATTTTCAGAGTTTCCTCTGGCATCCATTTTTTTTCTCCTCTGTCTCTGTCATGACCTTTGTCCTTCTTTGTGGATGATGTCCTTGATGTCATCCCACTACTCACCTGGTCTTTGGACATTAGTGTTCAGTGCATCCCATCTATTTTTAGGTAGTTTTCAAATTCAGTTGGAATAAACTCACGTCCATATTTTGGCTCGCATAGGCTTGTTTGCATTCTCTTCCCCCTCAGCATGAACGTGTATGAATAACTGGGTGTCTATCCCACAGTCCCTGGCCCTGGTTCACTGCTGAAACTAGGCTCGACATTTCCCACAAGTGTAGCCAATCTGATTCCTGTGTATCCTGTCAGGTAAGGTCCATGCGTATTGTGTTTTCTAAAAATAGTACTTGTGATGAATAAATCATTGACTGTTCAAAAGTCTATCATTTGACCTGTAGCCTCATTTCTGTCATGAAGGCCATCTTTTTACGCTATCTTAGTTTCCAATTTTTGCATTTCAATCATTAATGATTATTAATGCATGTTGATTGCATGTTTTGATCAATTTCAGACTGCAAATGTTGGTAGAAAATCTCAAGTTCTTTGTCTCAGACTTTAGTGGTTGGTGTGTATTGCTGTTGAATAATATTTGACTACTCTTCACTAATATTTGAATATCAAAATTGTTGACTAATTTGCTGCCTCACAGGTCTTCCTTTTATTCCTGTGGCTGGTATCCTGTCACGCACAGCACTGCACTTGAGATTGGATCTTTTTTTACTATGAATGTAGCTCCATTCCCCTTCCATTTCTCCATCCCAGTGTAATAGATCATTTGATTGTCTGATTCAGAATGGCTAGTACCGGTCCACCTCAGCTCACTCTGCCTCGGATGCCCATCTTGATGTGTTTCTTTTCATTTTTGGCAACTTCTAGTTGTCCTAGATTCGTACTTCATGCATCCCACCAAATACTGATATTTGCAGCTGTTTCTCCTCATTTTGAGTCTCACCACATCAGCAAATGAAGACCCTGCTTGGGGAAGAAGCTTGAGGCAGCTCTTCCAGGTGGCTGTTATTCTGTCTTCTAACAGTAGAGAGGGCAGTTAAGGGGCAGCAGATGAACCACACTTTGTAACCGGAGCTCAGTAAAGCTGTAAAGCACACTTTGTAATCTGAGATCAAGGCCTTGGGGCCAAGTTTTATGATCCTCATTATCTTAACTACCCTGCAAGATAATGCTTTTCAACTTTCTCTTGGAGTCTGTCCCTGAGGCTGGCTGGAGTTGGGCCATCATTCCTAGGGCCACGGGGTGCCCTTTGTTCTGGATCCTGCCTGCTGACATGGGCTCTTGAGCAGTGATCATTGTGACATTGTGTTTTGGGCCACCTTGGTCCAGTCTGCTGTTTGAAGTCCAGGAGATACCACCCTGTGTACACACCAGATATGTGGCATTGGCAGGGCCCAGGCAGCCCTGGGCGAGTTTTAACTGCCCCCACCCCACCTTCCACGAAGGGGTCAAAGGGCAGGTGAGAAGGCTGAGTCACTGGGCCCAGAAAAGGGACAGTTGTGCGCCTGTGTCTAAGGGTGGTGACACACTGCTCTGCGCCCCTCTCCGCTGAAGTCAGGTAAGGGGGGCAGTTTGTAAAGTTCTCTTAGTAACTTGGGTTTCCCTTGACCCTGCTCTGTCGCTCACTGTTCTTGGAGCCTCCTCTTAGCCACTTGTTAATGTGTGCTGTTTGTACAGGTTGTGACTGAGTGACTCGTCTGGGTGGGCACATTTAGGGCTGATGGGGTCTGCTGAGTGGACCTGCCGCCAGACTCTCCCCTGCCTCCTCTCTGTGGACCACACACTTTCCACATGCCCTCACCTGGGTCTGCCTCACATGCTACCAAGCCTGGTCCCTTCTCCATCTTATCAGAGGGGGGAACTTCCTCTCTGGAAATTTGTGGACATTCTCTTTACTGAATTTCATCCATCCCACTACCCCTTTAAGTGGACAGAGTGTAGTTTCTAGGGAGGTGATGGAGTCATTAAAACTTGTGTGTCAGAGTACAAGGATGCTCCTGAGGTTTTTCAGCACCTCCCCAGTGTTGATTGTCAGGCCTTTCTTGCAGGGTACCTCGTTAGACACAGACCTCCAACCCACTAGTAAGGAGCGCAGTGTGTTAACCACATCACTCACGGACCGGCTGTCCTCTACCCATTTCCATTGCGTCAGGTCAGTCCTGGCTCGTAAGGATCCCAGAGCACAGGGTAGAGCTGCCCTGCAGCATCTTCAAGGCTCTTCATGGAAGAGCGCTCTGGTGGCTTGTGGTGAGGAGCTGTGCTTCCAGTGTAGGGGTAGACAGTTCAAATGCACCAGCTTCTCTGTGGGAGAAAAAGGGGAAGTTTCCTCTTAGCCAATTTACTACTTCTGAAAACCCACTGGGGGGGTCAGCTATGAGTTAGACTGTATGTAACAACAACAATGTGAATGATCTTGGAACCTCTTTGCAAATCAGCACTGAGACAATTAATAATGTGCTTTTCTAGCTGATGGTAAAGAGCTATGCTGACAACCTAGAGGCACAGGGTTCAAGTCCACCACCTGCTCTGAGGGAGATAGATGGGCTGTCTTCTCCTACTGCCTCTGAAAACCTGCTGGAGGGTCAGTCATAAGTTGGCTCCAACTTGATGGTACAACCACAACAGCTGTTTGTGGAGGCCCGCTGCGTGCTTTCCAATGGTGCAGCCAGTGAGTCTGAATCACCAACTGGCATTTTTCATCCTGGAACCTTCTCTTGCCCTGGGTTTGTTTCCAAAACAGACTCAGTGGTGCTGCCTGGGCCTGGGCCCCCTCGCTGGCATTTTCCCCTGCTGGGTCCTGGCTGCCTGTGGCCAGCACCGCGCCCCTGACCTCTGGCATGTTTCTGGGCACCATTCCTGGGAACGAGGAAGATGAGAAACCAGAGAACAATCCCATAGCACCATCTTCCCGATGTGGTGATCAGCTCCTCTTTCTCCTGCTTCTGAGAAGAGACAGGCGAATAGGGATTAAGATCCAGCCAAGGTGGGGCTGGGCCCAAGCTTCCTGACATGCCCCTGAGCTGAACCTGGCTGGCCACCTGTTGGGTGTCCTGAGGACAGACCCCTCAGAGGAGCCAGGCTGCAGGCCACTCCTCCCTCCGAGTCTCCAGGGTCTGGAAGTGCAGGCCTCCCTCCCAGGCAGTTAAAACCCAACCCTGCTCATGTTTTCCAATTCAGTGAACAGTTGCTTAACTGTCAGATTATGGGTGATTGTCCCCTTTATTTTTTGTTTCCTAATTTTTCCATATTATTCTTTTATTAGGGAGCTCTGGTGGCCTAGTGGTAAGGAGCTGTGCCGCCAACCCAAAGGTCCACAGTTTGAATCCACCAGCTGCTCCGAGAAAGAAGAGCAGTCTCCTCCCATGGGATTAACCACCTCTGAAACCCCCTGGAGGGCCAGCTCTGAATCATTCCCACTTGGCAGCACACAACAACAGCATTCACATGCTTTGATTTTACTTCTCCTTCCCAAATGCATCCATGGGTGGTTGGGCGGAGCTTGTGAGTGTCCCTGAGCGGCCCATCTGGCCCTGGTCGGGTGCGCCCCGTGTGCTGAGTTGCTGATGGCCTTGTTTCTCCCTCGTGCAGGAATCATGTGGCTGGAACTGCTCTTGGCCTCCGTGCTGGGCTTTGCCATCTACTGGTTTGTTTCCCGGGACAAGGAAGAAACGCTGCCCATCGAACATGGCTGGTGGGGGCCTGGGACACCGCCCACCACCGGGGAGGATGAGAGCATCCACCCTTTCAAAGTGGAGACTTCAGACGAGGAGATCAAAGTAAGGCCTTTCCCCGGGCAACAGAGACAGGGGGACAGAGGTGGGCAGGGAGGCCCTTCTGTGGCTTCTCAGCTGTGCTGACAACCTAGAGACACAGGGTTCAAGTCCACCACCTGCTCTGAGGGGGAAAGATGGACTGTCTTCTCCTGTGCAATTTACTGCCTCTGAAAATCTGCTGGAAGGTCAGTTGTAACTTGTGGGTCTGCTCTTAATTATTTGGATTCTGCAGAGTGGTGTCCCCTGCAGGAGGATGGGTGACAGCTGGACACAGTGACCTGCTTTGTGGGAAGCAGCTGGTGTCCCCTACTTCAGGCCCTTCCTGAAGCCTCAGGGGACAGCTCATGGGAGTGAAGACAGGGTGGTACCAGCAACCCCAGAACAGCAAGAGAGCAGGACCAGTGTCCAGTAAGTCCTGCTGTGCACTCACTTTCCTGCAGGCCCTGCAGTGACTGTGGAAGAGGAGATGGCTGTTCCCTTGTCACAGGGTGGAAACTGAAGCTCAGAGGCATAGATCCCATCCTCCAAACTGACCACGCTGATTCGCAGAGTGACTGGCACTCAGGCCTGTCTTCCTCCACAGCCACTGCTGCCCCACCACACTGGGCTGGGGGCTGCAGGGCGGTCGGGCAGGTGACGTGGGGACAGCCTCGTGGAGGAGGTGGACTTGAGCAGCACCAGAGTCTGGGAGAGTCCCTGTCCATTCTCTCCTTTGTCCTGTGGCTACTTGAGTACCTGTGAGCAGGCTTTGTACTCGGCGTTTAGAAGATGAGGAAGGTCCTTCTCAGATAACAATGTTATGTGCCACTGAGTTGGAACCGACTCACAGCTGACCCTCCAGAGGGTTTTCAGAGGCTGTAAATCACGGGAGGAGACTGCCCATCATTTTCCTGTAGAGCAGCTGGTGGATTTGAACCACGTACCTTTCTGTTGGCAGCACAATTCCTTACCATCAAGCCACCAGAACTCCCGTAAATATCAGTTGTTGTTGTTGTTGTTGTTGTTAAGTGCCATCGAGTCGCAGGTGACTCACAGCGACCCTATGAAGGAGAGTCCTTGTCCCTTGGGTGACTTTCATCCTCTCTCCAGGTTCATAGGGTTTCCGGAGGCAAACTGTTACGAAAGTGGATGCCACTCCTCCTTCCAAGCTTGTTTTAATGGGGAGCTCTGCCCCACTCTCTGTCCGCACTGGGTAACCAGCCATTAACGCATTTGACACATCAGTGTCACAGGCAAATATCAGTAGTTTGCCTAAAATAAAACCAAATCCTCTGTTTTTTTTTATTCGATTCCCACTGAGAGTGATGCTTTTTAGCATTTTGTAAAACGCTGTCTGCCTTGAGCATTCTGCTCTTTTTTTATTTTATTTTTTTATTATTATTATTTTTGTGTGAGTGTACCGTCAAATCAGATCTGACTGGTGGTACAGGAGGAGATTGTCCCTCCTTCCCCGGCAGAGCATCTGGTGGATATGAACCGTGCGCCTCTGGGATTGTAGTTGGAGCTCCTTGCCACTAGGCCACCAGAGCTCCCCTAGCATTCTGCTCTTTTAAGAGCTATGGATGTGGGATCAAAGTGACAACCAAGCCTTTAAGTCCATGTCAATGCGCAGTGACTCGAAGGAACAGAATACAGCTGCCCCTTAGGTCTTCCAAGGATGAAACTCTTTAAAGAAGCTGTTTGCTTTGTCTTTTGCCCAAAGAGTAGCTCATGCATTTGATTTTTTGGTTTGCTGCACAATACTAAACTCACTGCACTACCAGGGCACCTTCACCTGATAATGCAGAAAGATTTGACAGGAACGTTGGGGGCAGAGCATTATTAATGAGGGAGGAACAGCTCTGAAGAGGAGAACACTGGTGCTCAGAGCATAGAGCACAACCCTTGTCACTAAATGCTACAGAGACACAATTGAATGAGAATGTTGTCACATATACATAGCCTAAATAGCAACAACACAGATATCATTTAAGACAAGAGAATCATTCAGGATCTTGTTAAAATGTGGGCTTTGTGTAGTGTATCCAGGGTAGGCACAGTGTCTGGGCTCAGATGTGTCAGGAACTGTGAAGGTGAGGGAGGGCAGGGCTCAGATCTGCTGTCATGCGGTAGATGGCACCTAACAACAACAACAACAACAACACAGTGGGGGTGGGATTGCAGCTTCTCAGCCAAAATACAGCCCAAGTGATGACTTGGGTCTTGTTATTCAGGACCAAAGTTGAACCTGCAGAATAAATCCTTTAGTGGGCTCATAGGCCAGGATTTCTGAAGTGCCTGAGGGGTTCCTGAAGCAAGCACATGTGAGGAAGTCATCCTCAGAAAGCTTAGGCTACTCGGCAGATGTGAATTTTCTCCTCTGGGGCCAGTCTCGCCCACAGCACAAATGCTCATTCTTCTTGAACCTTCTCTCCTGGTTTATAATTTTTATCCAAACTGAGTTATGATTCCAGGTTATGTATCAGCTCACCATGTGCTCAGAATGGATTTTACTTTTTTTTACATGGTTAAAAAAAAAGAAAGAAAAAATGTTTTGTAACATGTAAATTATATCACACTCAAGTTTTGTTGAATAAAGTGTTATTGGACTACTAATATACTAATTTGTATGTATATTGTCTGTGGCTGATTTCATGCTACAGGGGTAGAATTGCAGCTTGCAATGCCTAAACTGCTTACTATTTAGGGGTTAGGGAGCTCTGGTGGCCTAGTGGTAAGGACTTGCACCGTCAGCCCAAAGGCAGGCGGTTTGAATCCACAACTGCTTCGTGGAGAAAGATGGGCAGTCTGCTCTATTGTGATTTACATCCTCTTGAGAACCCACTGGAGGGTCAGCTGTGAGTTGGTTCTGACTTGCCATCCCACAACAACAACAACAGCAATAACATCTCGCCCTTCCCAAACCCAGTTTGCCCTCCATAACCGCGGAGCGGCTGCCGTGGGGCTGACGTTCCTGGTGTCTCAGAGTGGCACTGAGTGGCCTGGGGTTGGGTGGGACCTCCAGCCTTTCAGTCCCAGCTGAGCGTGTTCACCATTCTGTATAAGCTTCCTGTTGTTGTTGTGTACCGCAGAGTGGGGACTCACCCCTCCCTAATGCGTTTCCCAAGGCAGTTCACTGCATGGAAGGAGACCGTCCATCCTTCTTCTGCGGAGCAGCTGGTGGATTAAACTACATACCTTTGGGATTGCAGCACGGCTTTGTACCACCAAGCCACCAGAGCTCCCTTTTATATAAGCTTAGATAAATTAATGATCAGTGTTGTTCATACATTGAATAATGAAAGATGAAAAATCAACCTGAGGTTGAGAGTACAGAGAAGCCTCGATGAGGTTCGACGGAGTGTCTGGCTAGTGGGCTCAGATGCGGCGGGATGGTGAGGACGGCACAGGACAGGACAGAGTTAGGATCTGTTGTTCATGAGTTCGCTGTGAGTCATACTGGACTCAACAGCATCTGACAACACCACCACCACTTTGTTCACGGTCGCTGTTGAGGAGATAAGATCCACCCCTCCTGCTCCCTCCCGTGAACCTTTACCAGTGCTGGGGCAGTGGCTGGAAGGTTGCTGTCCTCAGAAAACAAACAGACAAACTCCCTGTGCTTTGTCTGACCCACTCAGGACCTATACTTGAGGATTGACAGGACCCGGTTAAGCCCGCCCTTGGAGGACAGCTGTTTCCACTATGGCTTCAACACCAACTACTTGAAGAAAGTCATCTCCTACTGGAGGAATGAATTTGACTGGAAGAAGCAGGTGGAGATTCTCAACCGATACCCTCATTATAAGACCAAGATTGAAGGTAGGCTTGGGTGCCCCCACTTGGGCAGACGTGTGCTGTGGGAATGGCCCGGCCCTCTTGTAGGATGTGATGTAGGCCAAGCTGGGGAGACTCAGAATTCAGCTACGTGGTCACTGATTGGGATATCTCTAAGCTCGTTCTCACGCTCTCATGGCCACACATCAGAACTGACTCCTCACTGATCCTCCATTGCATTTCCATGGCTGTAACTGCAGGAGGAGGGTGCCCATCAGTCTTCTCAGAGCTTCTGGTGGATTTGAACCAGCAGAGGCACAGCCTTTGGGTTAACAGTGCAACGCCCTGTGGACTGTGCCACCTGGGCTCCCTGTGTAAGATGTAACTTCATCCAGGTATAAAGAGAATGCTCAGTCCCAGCCCCAGAGGTCCCGAGAGTAGACAGCTGTTCTTAGGAGCGATTCTGGGGGCCTATGACTTGTACTTGGCTTGACGGCACTTTACAGCAATAGTGGATTCCTTACAGGAAACGTCCCCCCTTAACCCCAGAAAAATTTAGAATTGAACATGGAAATGTAAGAAGATTAAATCCATACTGATCCTCTTTAATATTGAAGTTATGCCCATTTGGAATTTAAAATATTTGTAACGCTTTAAGAAACGGCTTTTTCCAAGTAACAGATTAGACTTTGGGTTCTGATTTAAAGTATGTATTTGAGTTATGGGGTTTACCTTGAGATTTGCATGGACACCTTACTGAGGGTGTAGTCAGTAGGGAGGAGCACTGATAAACCCCAAAGGCATCCTTCTCCGGCTGTTCATGTCCACTGGTGGCCCTGCACAGAGAGATGGGCAACCTTGTCCCGGATGGTTCATGGCCTCAGACACACAAGAAGAGCCGGTTCAGCACGTCTTCGACACTCCTACTTGCCTGGGCTCAGCCTGGAGCTGGTGCTAGACCTGGCTCTGCCCTCTGTTTGCTGTCATTCTCCTGTACCATGTGCTGACCTTTCCGGTGTCCACTCTGTCCCTGCTTCTGACTGCTCAGCTCCTGGTCCCTCAGGCTCTACCTGGCCCCTGCTTGGATTCACCTTTACAGTCTTTTTGTCACTCGTTGGCTTGTTCTGTGATGAGCTTTTCATTGTGATGCCCTGGGCCTCCCATTGCAGGGAATCAAAGTCTTCTCTGAGAGTTTTAGAGTTGAAGGGGCACCAGAGGCCGCAGACTGAGTCCAGGCCCATCATGACCTGCAAAGAGGAGGGATTTTCCCAGAGTTGTTATTCCCAGAGTCCTTTCCCAGGGACATGGCATTTCACAGTCAGAACTAGAGGGTCCAGGCTAGCAGCCTGCCCCTTCTGTCTTTAGCCCATGGTTTTTCTCTGGACTCTACTCTCTGACTTTGAAGGGATCCTCTGCCATAGCCCTCACCCCATCACCCATCATGCCTGTCTTCTTCCTGGATCCACTGCTTCCGGGCTCCTGTCCCAGCAGCCTCTGCTCAGAGTGGCTAGCTCCACAGACATAGAGACATCCAAGGACAGTGCGTTTCCTTCCTCTGAAGGAAAGAGGAGCAAACAGAACACAAAGGTCTCACTACAGGACCAACAGTCCACATCATGATAAGTGGAGAAAGGACTGAAACTGTCAGTGAGTCCATCTTACAATCAGCACCTTTGGTACCAGTGTTCAGGAGGTCAGAAGAAGTATTGCATTGGGCAAGACTGCTATCAGGGTCTCCAAAATGCTGAAGAGCAAAGAGTTTGAAGACTAAGGTGTGCCTGATTCAAGCCATGGTCTTCTCAATCACCCGCTATGTATCAGAGAGCTGGACAATGAAAATGATGGCAGAAGAAGAATTGATGCCTGTGGGTTGTACTGGAGAAGAGTACTGAACATCCTATGGCTGGCAAATTGGACAAGTAGGTGTGTCTTGGTAAAGGTGCAGCAAGGGTGTTCCTTGGAGGCAAAGATAGCAAAGCTTCATCTTTCATACTTTGGACAGGTGAGGCTGTTCCCTGGAGAGGGATGACATGCTTGGAAAGATGGAGGGTCACTGAAGGAGAGGAAGACCCCCGCTCCCAACAAAATGGATTGGTACAGTGACTTCAGCAACGGGCTCTAGTGTGTCAGAGATGATGAGGATGGCACAGGATAGCACAGCATTCAGGATGGTTGTTCATAGGGTCGCAGTGAATCATACTTGACTTGATGGCACCTAACAGTCATAACAACAGGGGTTTCCTGTCATCAGAGCCCCTAACAGAGCTCTGGTAGCTTAGTGGTAAGGAATTGCACTGCCAACCCAAAGGCTTGCAGTTCAAATCCACTAGCTGTTCTGTGGGAGGAAGATGAACAGTCTTTTCTTGTATAATTTACTGCCTCTAAAACCAAAAAAGAATTGACTGACACGGAAGAATTTCAAGAAACAACATAAGAGGCTATGGTGATGAAGGAGGAAGTTCCAGCTGCTCTGAAGGATTTGGCAAAAAATAAAGCCCCAGGAATTGATGGAATAGAATACCAATTGATGTATTTCAACAAACAGATGCTTCCCTAGATGTACTTACCAAGTTGTTCCAAGAAATCTGGAGGACAACTCCTTGGCCAACTGACTAGAAGAGATCCGTATTTATTCCCATTCCAAAAAAAGGTGACCCGGCAGAATGTGGAAATTATCAAATAATATCAATAATGTCACACACTAACAAAATTCTGCTGAAGATTGTCCAGAAGTGACTACCAGAAATACAAGCTGGTTTTAGAAGAGGCCATGGCACTAGAGTCAATATTGCCAATGTCAGATGGATCTTGGCAGAAAGTAAAGAGTACCAGAAGAATGTCTATCTGTGTTTCATTGACTGTCCAAAGGTATTTGATTGTATGGATCACAGCACATTGTGGCTAACCTTGAGGAAAAGGGGAATCCCAGAACACTTGTGTTTATGTGAAACCTATCCTTGGACCAGGAAGCAGTCATTAGAACAGAACAGAGAAACACTGTATGGTTCAAAATCAGGAAAGGAGTACATCAGGGATGCATCCTGTTTCCATATCTTTTCAGTCTATATGCAGAATAGATCATTAGGGGAGAAGGGCTGTATGAGGATAAGTGTGGCATCAAGATTGGAAGAAGACTCATTAACAACCTATGACTTGCAAATGACACAACCCTGCTTGCTTAAACTGAGGAAGATCTGAAGTGTTTGCTGCAGAAGGTCAAGGACTGTAGTCATCAATATGGATTGAAGCTCAACATCAAGAAGACAAAGGGTCTCAACACTGGGCCAATTGGCATGATGGATGGAGAAGAGATTGAGGTTTTTAATAATTGTTTGGCTCCACAATCAACACCAGCAGACAAATTGCGTTGGGAAAGTCTGCTGTCAGGGACCTCTTCTGAGTACTGAAAAGCTACACTGTCAGTCTAGAGACTATGGTGCACCTAATCCAGGCCATGATCTTCACAATTACTTGCTATGTATCAAAGAGCTGGACAATGACTAAGGATGACAGAAGAATTGGTGTCTTCAAATTATGGTGCTGGAGAAGAGTCTTGAACATACTATGGACTGCCAGGAAAACAAGTAGGTCAGTCTGGGAGAGGGTGAAACCTAGTTTCTCCTTTAAGGCTAAGATTTTGAAGCTCTGTCTGACATACTTTAGGCACATGGCCAGGAGAGACCAGTCCTTGGAGAAGGACATCATGCTTGGAAGGGTGGAGGGACAGTGCAGGAGAGGAAGACCTGGATGAGATGGATTGATACAGTGACTGGGGCAATGGGAATAGTTGTGTCGGAATTAATGAGATTGGCTTGGGACAGGGCAGAGCTCAGAGCTGCTGTACATGGGGTCGCAATGGGTCGCAGGTGAGCAGGTGACTTGATGGCACATAACAACAACAACATCAACAAAAACCTAGTGGAGGGTCAGCTATGGGTCAGTTCTGACTTCATGGTGAACAACAGGAGATTTCTGTTTTGCTTTGTAATTTCCCCCAAAATATGTAATAGTACCTTCATGAAGTATAGACTCAAAAAGTGTGCAGTGAGAGGAGTCTCCCTGTCTCCCTCCCTGTCACCCTTTCTTCCCAGCTGTCCACAGTGTGAGTTCTCGGAGGAGCAAGGGAAGGCCCCCATTCTCCGGTGCATGCACATGCGTGTCTGTGCGCATGTGCGTGCGTGCGTGCACATGCGCACATTTTTTCCATTTTAAACTCAAGGGACAATTTGGCAGAATTTGAACACTAAAAATGGATTTTAGAATAGGGCCAAATTTAGCAGCACAGGATGCCCGGGGTATATTGTTCAGTGAGAGAAGCCTGGCTCCAAAATGGAATGCATGTTTGGTTCTATTTTTGTTGAAATTACGTTTTCTAACTGGAACCAGCGAGCAGAGCCTAAGGGGACGTCTTGACCAAGTGGAGTGTCAGGTCCTGAACAAAAACTAGGCCATTAGGGAGCAAACAGGAAATCTGAATCGAGCCTGGACTGCACTTACTTACCTATATTTAACATTTTGTAGTGGTGTGACATTTTGCCGAGCACACTCTTTCCATCCAGCGTCTGTACCATGTCGTCTGCCGTCCCCTCACTGTGACCTGCTCTTCCCTGGCTCTCCTCTTTCCTTTTGCCCTTTCCTGGCCCGCTGTGTCTCCTGAACTCTGTGTCTGTGCGGCTGGTGGTTCTGAGGAGTGCTTGCTCACGGTGTTCGGCTCACTGCAGGGTCTGTTGTGTGGCTGAGAAAGTGGCCTCTGGGAGCTGTCGAGTTCCCCACTGTCGACAGCTGGCGAGAAAACAGGTGATGGGGAGTGGACAGGAGAGACAGGGAGACTCCCTCTCATTACATGCTTTTTTATCCTATGCTTCATGAAGGTATTACTACATATAGGGCAGTAGGCTCTGGGGTTCGAAGGGAGCAGTGTCCCACTCGGCCATCAGTGCTGCTGCTTCTAAAGGAACCGTCAGACGCACTGCCCTTGAGGCCACAGTGCGGAGGGGGCCACCGTCACTGCAGAAATCTAGTTACTCAGGAGATGTCCGATTGGTCGGGACTCTGAGAACTGACATTTGCCTCCCGTTTTCTCTTGATTCATTTCCATCCAAGTGTCCATTTCCCTAAAGATCTGTGCCAGCACCAAGTAGTTTTGTGAGTTTTGGGCTTGGAGTTTTTGGTGGGTTGGTTTTTGGTTTTTGGTTTGGATTTCCTTTGTTGTTGTATTTTGGTTTTTTGTCAGTTTAATGGATAAAAAAATGCTCTCGTTTTAATTGGCAGTTTTAAAAATCCCAAGATTGCAAACAAGCAAATGTTTGAATGCCTGTGGTCTAGTTAGGATTCCAAAACCTGCTAATTAAAACAAGATAGAATTTTTTTCCACCCATTAAATTGGTTAAAAATCCCAAAAACAATCCGTTATACCTAGACCACAAAACTGTTGCCCAAACAGAACAAGAGAACAATTCATGGTTTAAAATCTGGAAAGATGTGTGTCGGGATTGTATTCTGTCTCCATACCTGTTCAATCTGTATGCTGAGCAAATCTTTCAAGAATTTGGACTCCGTGAAGAAGAATGTGGCATCAGGATTGAAGGGACACCCATCAACAACCTGCATTATGCAGAAGACACAACCTTGTTTGCTGAAAGTAAGGAGGACTTTAAATGTTTGCTGCGATATGGATTATATCTCAGTGTCAAGAAGACAAAACCCCTCATCACCAGGCTAACAGGCAACATCATGATAAATGGAGGAAAGATTGAATTTGTCCATAATTTCATCTTGCTTTAGATTCACAATCAACACGCCTGGCACCAGTAGTCAAGACATAAAAATAGCTCTTTCTCTTGGGCTTGGATCAGGTGGCAGGCAGCCAGGTTCTATCGCTCAGCCACGGCCAAAATCAAGGCTTGGGACCTTTGCGGCAAGAAGGAGGAGCTGTTAAAACAGCAGGACGATCTGAAGGTGGAGCTTTCCCAGCTGCACGTCGCCAAAGTGACAGGCTTCTAAGCTATCCAAAATCCGAGTTGTCCGAAAATCCATTGCCCATGTTCTCACTGTTATTAACCAGACTCGGAAGGAGAACCTCAGAAAATGCTATAAGGGCAAGAAGTACAAACCCCTGGATCTGCGGCCCAAGAAAACATGTGCCTTGCGCCGAAGGCTCAACAAGTATGAGGAGAACCTGAAGACCAAGAAGCAGCAGCAAAAAGAGCGCCTGTACCCACTATGGAAATATGCAGTCAAGGCCTGAACTTCTTAAATAAATAAAACACAAAACAATCAATCAATCAATCAATCAATCAATCAATCAATCAATAAACAAACAAACAAACAAACAAATAAAAAAAAATGTACTGCATTGGAAAAGTCTGCTGTCAAGGACCTTTCCAAAGTACTGAGGAGCAATGCTGTCAGAAGACTAAAGTGTGTCTGATTCAAGACATAGTCTTTTTAATCACTTGCTGTGTGTCTGCTGTCTTCAATATGAATTGAAATTCAACATCAAGATAACAAAGATTTTCACCACTGGGCCAATTGGCAGCATCATGACAGACGGAGAAGAGATTGAGAGTGTTAATAATTTCAGCTTGCTTGATTCCACCGTTAACACTTGTGGCACCAGCAGTCAGAAAATTAAAGATGACTTGCACTGGGAAAAATCTGCTGTCGGGGACCTCTCCAGAGTACTGAAGAGTAAGGACATCAGTAAGGACATTAGTAAGGACTAAGCTGTTCCTGATCTAAGCCAATGTCTTTACAATTACTTGTTATGTGTCAGAGAGCTGGACAATAACTAAGGATGATTAAAGAAGGATCGATGTCTTTGAGTTACGATGTTGGGGAAGAGTATTGAATGTACTATGGACTGCCAAGAGAACAAACAGTTCTGTCCTAGAGAGGATGAAACCAAATTTCTTCTTGGAGGCAAGGATTTTGAAGCTCTATTTCACATACTTGGGCACAAGGCCAGGAGGAACCAGTCCTTGAAAAAGGACATTATTCTTGGAAAGGTATAGGTAGAGCACAAGAGAGGAAGACCCCAGATGAGATGGATTGACCCAGTAAGGGGGTAGTGGAGGTAGATGCATCAGAGATAGTGAGACTGGCTCAGGACATGGCAGGCTTTAGAGCTATTGAACATAGGGTTGTTGTGGGTCATAGGTAGCTTGATGGCACCTAACAACAAAAATGGCAACAGTGTGTCTGAGAGGTGGACAATGAATAAGGATGACAGAAGAAACATTGTTGCCTTTACGTTGTGGTGTCAGGGAAGAGGATTGACTATCCCATGAACTGCCAAAACAGGAAACAGATCTGTCTTGGAGAAAGTGGAGCCAGAGTGCACCTGGGAGGTAAGGATGGCAAAGCTTCATTTCACACCCTTTGAGCATCTTATTAGGAAGGGATCTTCCCTGGAAATTTCCTATTGCGAAATTTACTGCCTCTGAAAACCCACTGCAGTGTCGACTGTAAGTTAGTTCTAACTCCATGGTCCTCAACAACAGCATGCCTTGGGAAGGTGGAAGGAGGGTGAAAGAGAAGAAGACCCTCAATGAGATGGGTTGACACAGTGACTGCAGCAATGGGCTCAAGTGTATCAGAAATGACGAGGATGGCGCATGATAGGTTCACATCTGTTCTTCATGACTGTTCTTCATGTGTCTAGTTGACTTGATGGCACCTAACAACAACAGTTGTACATACTACAAACAACAAACTACAGAACAATATCATTGATTTCACATGCAAGCAAGATTCTACTGAAGATTATCCAAAAACGACTGGAACAAGTACCTCAGCAGAGAACTGCCAGAAGTCCAGGCTGGGGTTAGAAGGGGTCGTGGTACTAGGGGTATTGTAGCTGATGTTAGATGGATCTTGGCTGAAAGCAGAGAATACCAGAAGAATGTCTATCTGTGTTTCATTGATTATGCAAAGGCATTTGACTGCGTGGATCATAACAAACTGTGGCTGACTCTGGGAAGAATGGGAATCCCAGAACATATAATCGTGCTAATGCGAAACCTATACTTGGACCAAGAGGCAGTAGTCAGAACAGAGCAGGGCAACACTGCATGGTTCAAAATTGGGAAGGGTGTACGCCAGGGATGTGTCCTGTCTCCATACCTTTTTAACCTGCATGCAGAGCAGATTATCCGAGAGGCAGGGCTCTATGAGGAGAAGTGTGGCGTTAGGATTGGTGGGCGATCTGTCAACAATCTGTGTTATGCAGATGACACAACCCTGCTCGCTGAAACTGAGGAGGACCTCATGCACTTACTGCAGAGGGTCAAGGACTGCAGCCTTCAATATGGACTGAGGCTCAATGTCCAGAAGACAAAAATTCTCACCACTGGACCAATCGGTAGCATCAGGATGGATGGTGAAGAGATTGAGATTGTTCACAGCTTCAGTTTGCTCGGCTCCACAGTCAACACTCTTGGCACCAGTAGCCAGGAAATCAAAAAACGTATTGCGATGGGAAAGTCTGTGGTTAGGGACCTCTCCAAAATACTCAAGAGCAACAGTGTCTCTCTGGAGATCAAGGTCCGCCTGATACAGGCCATGGTTTTTGCAGTCACTTGTTATGCATCAGAGAGTTGGACAATGACTAGGGAGGATAGAAGGAGAATTGATGCCTTTGAGCTGTGGTGCTGGAGAAGAGTACTGAATGTACTATGTATGGACTGCCAAGAAAACAAATAGATTCATCCTAGAGAGGGTTAAACCAGGCTGCTCCTTGGAGGCAAGGATTCTGGGGCTTCACCTGACATACTTTGGACATGTTGTAAGGAGAGACAGGTCTTTGGAGAGAGACATCATGCTGGGTAGAGTAGAGGGACGGCACAGGAGGGGAAGACCCTCTATGAGGTAGATTGATTCAGTGACTGGGGTAATTGGGATGGGAGTGTCAGAGACAGTGCGATTGGCACAGGATAGAGCAGGGTTTAGGGCTGTTGTACATAGGGTCGCTATGAGTCGCAAGCGACTCGACGGCACATAACAACAACAACAATGACTTGACTGCATAGCGGTTTTTTTGCTGTTTCCCCCAAATGTTAGTTCCCTTGTTTATTTTCTTTGCCCCTCCCCCCCTTTTTAAAGAATGGGCATGTACAAATGGTTTGCTGTCAACCTTTGACCAGAAAGTGGAAGGTTCAGAACTACCGGGGGGGGGGGGGGGCAGGGCGCTGCAGAGGGCTGCCATGAAAAGTGTTCATAGGGCGATGTGTGGGCTCTGGTTCAACAGAACCAAATGCCACCCACTTGTGTGAAGGCCACTGGCAAGAAGACTTCTGGATGTGTCAGAATTGACTTGGCAGGCTTGGCTTCTCTACCTCCCCCACTTTATGCCTTTGAGAAATGCGGCCATAGCAGTACCCCCTTACAGGTTGATGTGCAGACCAAGCGTGGGCACCTTGATGAGGGCAACAGGTGTCAACAGAGGCAGCGTGAATTGGTGAATTGTCCTTGTGCCTGAGGGTGGACACCTGACGACACCCCGAGGGCCGCGGGTCAGGACTGCAGCCCCCGAGCCCTCTCTGTGTTCTTTTCCGCAGGCCTGGATATCCACTTCATTCATGTGAAGCCCCCACACGTGCCTGCAGGACGTACTCCGAAGCCCTTGCTCATGGTGCACGGCTGGCCTGGCTCTTTCTATGAGTTTTATAAGATCATCCCTCTCCTAACCAACCCCAAGAACCATGGCCTGAGTGACGAGCACATCTTTGAAGTCATCTGCCCTTCCATTCCGGGCTACGGCTACTCACAGGCATCCTCTAAGAAGGGTAAGGTTTCCTAGAGGCTGCGTGCCCTGGTGCTTGCCCGGTGTGGGCAAGATTCTCCCACCGGGCACCTCTGCTCGCAGGAGGATAGGGCATGGCACTGAGGATGCTGGGAAGGAGGTCTGGAATTTGAGTGCAGAGACAGCCAGGAGCATTTTTATTATGTAATGGGGCCAGCACATTTTAGAACATAAAGAAGGTAGAAGGCGGAGTTCAGGGCTGGTGTAGGGACCTGGACTTGTATTGTCATGATTTCTAAACTCAGGTAGTGTTTTCTCTGAACCTAGACTGTTCCCAGCTCATTGGGGTGATGAGATTATAGATGTAGTAAATGGGCTTGTGGCTACCTCCCCGAAGCTGGCCTGAGCCAAGGACATCCCTCCCAGCCTTACTGAGAAGTGGTGGTCACTCACAGCTCCCTCTGTGGAGACAGCTCTCTGGGGTGTTATCCCATCTTGCCCCTTGGATGCCAGGGTCCCTTCTAACCATTGGTAGGCTCCCCCCTCTCCCCTGGAGGCACGCCTGTGGAATTCCACCAGGAATTCCTAGAACTCCTCCCTTTACCTCCTCGCTGTTTCCCCTCACCACCAGGCTTAGACACGGTGGCTACGGCCAGGATCTTTTACAAGCTGATGATGCGGCTCAACTTCCAGGAGTTCTACGTTCAAGGTGGAGACTGGGGCTCCTTGGTCTGCACCAACATGGCCCAGATGGTGCCCAGGTGAGAGTCCCATTTGGGGTGTACGGATGTGTAGGCACACCTTTGTGTGGCATCAGCAGGCACTGAGCTTGAGCCTGGGGGCCCCCGCCATACCAGTGGACACACAGATGTTACCGGACTGAGTCACAGTGTCTCACATCCTGATACGTGACTGTCCCATACACTTTCTAACAATATAAATGGAGTAATTGAAAAAGACTTGCTTAGAAATACATTCTTATACGGTATAAGATCTTAACTTTAGTGTCCTCTGATCTTAAATGGAGGTTTAACAATATTATGCCAAATTATCCATGTTACTAATTTAACTAACTCATGTGATCACATTGTTAACAATAAGCAAAGGAGGACGTAGGTACCGCCAAGCCAGAAGACCAGAAGTGGAGCATGTCCTTTGGAGCCAGACCCTGGGCTGGGAAGCTCCTTGAGGCGTATGGAGTCTCCTAGGAATGCTGGCCCTGTAGGTACTGAAGGAAAGTCTTCCCTAGAGCTGGCAGTCTGCGTATGGACATCCAGCCTCCTAAATGCAGAGTAGGCCCTTCTTCATTGAGATTAATGACAGTGCTCAGAAATTTAAAACTTCTGCTCTGGAAGAATTTTATCTTAAAGAAGCAGAAGACACTGATTATACTTCTTGAAATCTTGATGCCATTACTGTTCTCAGCAATTATAATGTATCTTCATTTCAATCGTTTACCAAGGAGAAGACCTGCTTTTAACTACTACCCACTTGCTATTAGTTTGCTGCCTGAATACTTCCACTATTACCCTCGGGAGAGTAGATTTCAACTTGTCTATATCCCTTCCAGAAGTGAAACTTGGGAGAATATCAGTGAAATTGTGGTGGAAAGCTGTAATGTGCCTTTTGATGGTTAGACATGAAGCTGGGACAAGGATGAGGATGCTGTTAGAATGGATCCTTTCAAGTTTCCCCCTGCGAGTTCTTATGAGAACTCTAATGCTTGAGTCTGGATGTTCACATTCTAAAGAGACATTAGAAGGGGCAGTTGAGGATGGATGAGATAGTCCATGTAAAGTTGATCCTTTCAAAAGACACAAAGGAGCTATGTATATTTAGCTGTCAATGCGAATTAAAATGTTAAAAAAGAGAGAATACGTTGTTTTTATGTTATGTGCCATGCAGTTGACTACAAATCATAGCGGTCCTATGCCCAATAGCTCTGCACTCTGCTCTATCCTGAGCCAATACCACTGTCTCTGACACACCTAGCCTCATTTATTATACCCCAGTTATTATGTCAATTCATTCATCTAGGGTCTTCCCTCCTACGCTGCACCTCCGCCCTTCCTAGCATGATGTCCTTCTCCAAAGACTGATCCCTCCTGGCTACATGCCCAAAGTATATGAGACAGAGTCTCAAAGTCCTTGTCTTGGAGGAGCACCTTGCTTTCACCTTCTCTAGGACAGACCTCTTAGTTAGTTGTCTTGGCAGTCCATGGTATGTGAAATACTCTTCTCCAGCACCACAACTTAAAGGCATCGAAGATTCTTCTGCCATTCTTGGTCATTGTCCAGCTCTCAGATGCAGAGCAAGTAATTTCAAAGATCATGGCTTGGATCAAGGCATACTTTAGTCTCTAGACTGACATCATTGTTCTTCAGCACTCTGGAGAGGTCCCTGATAGCACATTTTCCTAATGCAATTCATCTTTTGATTTCCTGACTGCTGCTGCCAAGAGTGTTCATTGTGGAATTGAGCAAACTAAAATTGTTAACAATCTCAATCTCTTCTCCATCTAACATGGGGGGAAAGTTAATCATCAGGAATAGTTAATTAAAAAGTTCAAAGGGGAAGGGGAAAGGACCCCAAATTCTGAAACACATTGAAAGTTAATCAGTAACCTGGGGAGGATTTCAGCCAAGTACTTGGGACCTGCTACGATTCTTCTCTTGGCGCAGGATGCCGTGGGCCTCAGGGACAGGTGGGAGGGTCTGTGGGTCACTTGGACTTGAGTCCTCCTGGGTGGTGTGAGCCAGAGCTGGTGGCCCAGGCACTTGCTCATCGGAGATGGGAAGGTCAAGATCAGTCCTTGCTGATGGCCAAGCATGGGAGAGCGCTGACAGGAATGTTGTCCTGGTTCTGCGTCTTCCCCACACCTCCTCCTTCAGACAGCTGTGGCTTCCTCCCCAGACGATGGGGCACGTGCCCCTCAGCCTGTGCCTCCTCATCGCTTTGCTCCCCTTTCCTCACTTTGCACCCCCCACCCCGCCTCTCTCCCATTAGGCATGTGAAGGGCCTGCACTTGAACATGGCTTTCGTCTTAAGCAATGTCCACTTCCTGACCCTTCTGCTGGGACGGCGCTTCCAGTGGCTCTTTGGCCACACCGAGAGAGACATTGAGCTGCTGTACCCCCTGAAGGAGAAGATTCTCAACAGCGTGATGAGGGAGAGTGGTTACATGCACATCCAGTGCACGAAGCCGGACACTGTGGGTGAGTGGCCACGGGGCTGGAGCTGGCTCTGGTTCCTGTCACCCACAGAAAGGGTTTTACATCCTCTCCATTCAATAGGACAGGCAATGAGGGAAGCCCTCCTGTCCCCACAACACTGTCACTGGGCTGGAACCCTGTGGAAAAATCCCAGTTCTCCTGACCTTTAACTATTTTTTCCCCATGTTCTTGTTATGTACCATCTAGTCAGAACTGACTAATAGCTGACCCTCCAGTGGGTTTTCAGAGGTTCAAATCACATGGGAGGAGACTGTCCATCCTTCTCCCACAGAGCAGCTGGGGGATTTGAACTGTATGCCCTTGGATTGGCAGTGCAGCTCCTTACCACTAGGCCACCAGAGCTCCCTATGTTTTTCCTGATTGTTGTTGTTGTTAGGTGCCATTGAGGGGGTACAGCTCATAGCAGCCTTATGAACAACAGATCTGAGCCTTGTCCTGTCCTGTGCCATCCTCATCGTCCCTGACTCACTCGAGCCCATTGCTCCAGTCATGTGTCAGTCCACCTCGCAGAGGGTCTTCCTCTCCTTCAATGACCCTCTACCTTGCCCAGCATGAAGCTTGAATATAATGGGCATCAAAGTCTTAGGCTAGGCCAAACAATTCTCTTCAATTGGTTCCATATTCTTGGGGGCTTTCCCTGCCTCTGGGCCCGAGCAAGTAGCAGCGGGCTGGGAGTGTGGAGAGGAAGGAGCTTGGGAACTCTGGGGCGGTGGGGTCGTCTCTAGCAAAGGAAGGGGGAGCGTACCTCTGGACCCCCAGGGAGAAGTTCTTGAGCAGTGGTGGCACACCCAGAAGCCATTTTCATCACCAGCTTCCAGTTAAAGCCGAATTCCTTTTAAAAGATAAACCATGACTCTCATCCATCAGTGTGAAAGAGCACATTCAAAGACTTCATTTAGCTCAGTAATGAATAACCCCAGCTCACGAGTGTGGAGTTACTCCTGACCCTCAGTGATTCTGCTTGTCTCATAGGCTTTCTGAGACAGTGAATCTGCAATTGCTGTAGAAGCGTTCTATTACCTCACTCTTCTCCTGGGGAGAGGCTGGTTTGGCTCCTGACTGAGTTGGCATCTGCATCCCTTACCCACGTCGTTGTTGTTAGGTGCTGTGGAGTCAGCCACACAGTGACCCTGTGAACAGCAGACTGGAGGCTTGGCCAGCCTGCACCGCCCTCAAGATCTGCGACAGGCTCGAGCCAGTGTCCCTGTTGGGGCAGCCTTCTGTTCACATCTGTGAGACAGCCTGTAACAATAACAACAGCACTTTCTAAAACTAATCCGATTTGAAAAGTAATCTGTAATCATCATCCCAAAATCGAAAACCAAAGAACTTGACGAGCCCATCAGCTCCAGCCTCCCCTGGCCTCCCTCCTCCTCCCTGGCCTCGGAAGAACTTGCTGACATTTGTGGCTGATAGACTTTCATGAATTGATGAGGCCTGCAAATCGGTAGCGGTGTCAGAGACAAGTGACCCCAGTAGCCCAGAGCCCACCTTGTTCGTGCTCCCTCCCAGGCAGTTCCCACCCCAGGATGGAACGTTCTCCAGGCTTCTCAGATCGCTTGCTGTTCCTCTGTTCTTCCTGCTTTTTATGAGTGGAAGCAGAGTATAAACTCGCTGAGTCTAGCTTCCCTCACACAACTTCATGTTTGTGAGATTTTCTGGTGTTGCCCCAAACAATTTTAATGATTGAGGACTATTTTAGCTTATAGATAGATGTATTTGTTTGTTTATTGTAAAGATATATGGAACAGAATATCCTCTAACTTGTACAATTGAGTGACACATTCTGCTCAGCCTCCTGTTCAGCCTTCACCACCACCTGTCTCAATATTTCCCATCATCTTAAGTGATAACCTGCTTTGGACTCTTGGATGGGATCTCACTTATCACTGACTACAGTATACAGAACCCCTTCATCCCATCCACCCCCCTCAAAACAAATCCATCACCAGAAGCCTTTTCAAATTAGTTTTTATGTTTATCTGTCACTTGGCCCTCACAACACGGGGTTGTAGACCATTCAGTCTGAAGGAAGCTGTCTATGCAGTAAGGTGCTCTAGTGGGGAAGAGCATTACATGTTGCTGAAAGGTCAGCAGATGGAATCTACCAGAAGCCCCACCAGAGAAAATTGAGCTCATCTCCTCCTGCAAAGGTTCAATGGCCTCAGAAATGTGGTGAAGGGTCGCCAAGAAATTGACACTGGCTGACAGTGGCTGCCATTACTGTTGAAACATAATGAGTTAGAACTGACCCATAGCCCACCCTCCTGCAGGCTTTTTAGAGGCTATAAACTGGAGCAGAGGAGACTACCCATCTTTCTACTGTGGAGCAGCTGGTAGATTTGAACCACATACCTTCAGCTTGGCAGTACTGCTCCTCACCACCAGAGCTGCCTATGAAGAAGTATTATTCTCTTGTATCAGTTGGAGGGTCTTGAGGCTGAGGCCTAAGAAAGTGAGGTAGATGCATAAGCACCCCAAGAATTAGGTCACAGCAAACACGCTTCCTGCCATGGCCTACTTCCTGGGACCAGCACCACACTTCAGCCCTGAGGAGGGCCCTGGGCGCCTGACTGATCCCCTTCCTCACTCCTTCCCCCCAGGGTGTGCCCTAAATGACTCCCCTGTGGGCCTGGCGGCCTATATTCTGGAGAAATTTTCCACCTGGACCAATTCGGAATTCCGGAACCTGGAAGATGGAGGCCTAGAGAGGTGAGACTCCTCTTGTCCCCACTTGGCAGCCACCTCCTTCACTTGCCACTGTCCTTCTCTTCTCTGTTTGCTTTATTGAGTGGGAGGTTTAATCGAGAAAATGGATTAGAAGTTCCATCTACCTGTGGCTGGTACCTTATGGATGAAGAAGCTGAGGCGCAGAGAGGTCTAGTGATCTGCTCCAAGCTGCCCAGGAGGGTGATCAGCACTAGGAGGGAAGACTTGAACTTCTCATGCTCTGATACCCAAGCAGCCCTCCTGGGATGTGGGAGCCCTGAGGGCCAGGAAGGAGCAGGGCCTTTCCCCCCAGGTCCCTGGGAACAGGCTTCCTGGCTGCAGCTATTCCTCTTGAAGTTAACCCCAAGTTTGGTTGCGGGGAAAATGGGGGATGACCTACCTCTGAGAGTCTCAGAAGGCTGCAGCCTCCACGGACCAGGAGCTCTCAGTTCCCTGGCCAAACTCAGGCTTGATCAAGGTTGCCACTGAACTACCTTCTCCAGCCCTTCAGTGATGCATCCAGCACCAGGGCTGGGGGCAGGGACAGAGAGTGAGACAGGATGGATGTGCTGGGCATGTCATTGTTGTTGTTTTTATGTGCCATCGAGTTGAGTACAGCTCACAGCAACAATATGAACAACAGACCTAAACCCTGTCCTATCCCTGTCCTGTTTCTGACACACTTGAACCCATTGCTGCAGTCACTGTGTCAAGCCATTTCATTGGAGGTCTTCCTCTCTTTTGCTAACCCTCCCCCTTTCCAAGTATATGTCCCATTCCAAGAATTAACAGCCCCTTCAAGCAGCACGCTCAAAGTATGTGAGGCAAGGCTTCGCTGTCCTTGCCTCCAGTGAGCCCTCTAAGACATCTTCTTGTTGTGTACTGGTGAGTCAGAACCAACCCATAGCTGACTCTCCAGCAGGTTTTTAGAAGCAATTCATGCACAGGAGGAGATTGCCCATCCTTCTCCCAGGGAGCAGCTGGAGGATTCAAACCATGTGCATTCAGGATTGCAGCACAGGTTCTTACCACTAAGCCACCAGAGCTGCTCAATAAATAGCTGTTGCATGAATGAGTTCTAGAATGCAGGCATGTGCAAAGGACCATGGGAATCTTTTTGCTTTCCTTTCCCCCAATATATTTATTTACCATATTCTTCACATATGCTGTATTTTATAATTTTATGGATATATAAATTTTTAGAACATTTTTAAAATGTTAAGTAAATTTACTACAGTGCATACTGAATAAAATTACTTTGCTATTGTTTAGACAAGCTAGGATTTTTTTGAGAAGAGATACAAGATTTTAAGAGAACAGCAATCAAGAATTAGAATAGATATGTTTCTTTTAATGGAAAAAGCATTGAAACAATTACATATTCAAGACATGTTGTTGCCATCAGAGCACCATGGATGAATGCATAAGTTGGCCAGGTGGAGGCACAGCAAACTCTACAATGGCTCGAATGAGCTCCCTTCCCACCTAGTAACTGACACATTTGCATACAATGGTTTCTGAACCACTGGGCCCATGGGGATCTTTTGAGGAGCCAAGGGACTCAGTTAGGCTAAGGGATGGGAAGCGGAAGTGATTGGGAGAATCTTTTTGGGCTTTGAAGGATGAATAGGAGTTTGCCATGTTGAAAAAGAAATATAGGCAAAGAGACCAGCAAAAGCAAAGAATGGAGCAGTTAAAATGCAGGTTCTTAGAAGAGCTCTGGTGGCCTAGTGGCAAGAAGCTGCACTGCAATCCCAGAGGCACTGGGTTCAAATCCACCAGGTGCTCTGCCGGGGAAGGAGGGACAATCTCCTCCAGTACCAGTCAGATCCAATTTGATGGTATACACACAAAAATAATAAAATAAATATTTAAAAAAAAACCCAAAACAAAAAAAATTTTTTTTAAAAAAATGCAGGTTCTTGGAAAGAGGCCTGGTCCAGGGCTTGGAACAGGAAATGGAGACAGACCATGAAATGGATTTTCTAGGCAGGCCCTCGCCCTGGCCCTTTGCATCTGTCACCCTGCTCGGTATCTGGCAGGACTCAAAGGTCAGTTAGGACCATCCTGGCAAGAGGCTAGGTCCTGCTCCTTGCCCATAAATATGGGGAACAGCTGACAACCCCCTCCCCAGTTATCCCTCAGACCCTCTCCTCCAGTGTCCTCTGGCCTAGCAAGTGAGCCAGAACTTTGCATGAGGGACATACACGGTCAGGTCTGTGGTTTAGGCAGACCCCCTCTCTGCCGTGGGGAAAAGTGCCAGTCTGGGTTTTTGAGCCATGGTCGGAGCCCACGGAGGTGGAAGCAGGCTGATTTGATGAAAGTCCCTTGCAGGATGAAAATGTTTACTTTCCCTTTAGTTTTCACGTTGTCATCCAGATTGTATTTGAAGGATTCCTACTTTCTGCTCTGCAGCTTGCTGCTATTGTAGGAGATCTTGTCATGTAATGTCAGATCAGAACTGACTCAGACCTCCAGTGGGTTTTCAGAGACAGGAAACTGAATGGGAGGAGATTGCCCATCTCTCTCCCGTGGAGCAGCTGGTGGATATGAACAAAGGACTTTTGGTTGCCAACGCACCTCCGTACCACTAGGCTACCAGAACTGCATACAATGCAATAATATAAGAGTAGAGAATGAAAAGAACTCGTGTCTCTCTCTCTCTTTCTCTCTCTCTCTGTGTGTGTGTGTGTGTGTGAGAGAGAGAGAGAGAGAGAGAGAGACAGACAGACAGAGACAGAGAGACGGAGAGAGAATGAGAGTACAGTGTCCAAGGAGGGGTTCAGCGTCAGCAGAGAGGCCACTTGTCTTTGCTGTAGGCACACTGAACGGAGACACTGTGCTTACTTGGATACAGGGCTCAGGAAGCAGGTCAAGATGAGAAGAAATTCTTTATTCTGTGCCCTTCACAGTGTTAATAATCAGAGTGCACAGACAAAGCGGCAGCAGGGACGCTGGGAGAAGCTGTCCAGAAGCCAGGAGGACCTGAGTGAGCTCAGGGGAGTGTCAGGAGGTCTGGGGATGCCACTGGGGCACCTGGAGGCCATCAACTTTTGCAGGCAGAGGTTGAGGAGATGGAAGGCATGACCAGAGGAAGGGGACAGACAGGCACAGGGAGGGGACATTGGCACAAACGTCTTTGGAATGATAATACTTGGCTGTGGAGGGAGCAGGTGATGGACAGTTGAGCTGAGGATGTGGGGTGGGTAGGGGACGAACCTGGGGAGGAGCCAGGACTGGTCTCTCCTCTGAGCAGCAAAAGGCCGGGATGGAAGTGAGGAGGACAGTGTTGGGGTCCACAGGCCCCCTCAGAGCCCTCCCTCTGGCCTGTGCTGGACACTGGGCATTTCTGAATCTCGAAGAAGGGGTAACAGAAAATGGGATACCATGGGCCAGCATTGCACTCTAGAGTGGGGCTGGGGGTCAGGACACCCCAGCCTGTTCCTCACCAGATGCCCACCTCAGGTTGATTACGCTGTCACCTCAGGAGCTCATCTCTTCCACCCTCAAAACTACATGAACTGATCCTCCCCTCGGTGGACTCAAATTCCTCCTACCTCCCTGGGCTTGAGAAGAACTAAAGCTCCCAGGTGTCCACGCTGTCACCTTCCCTTGGACAGCTTGCTGCCAGTAATGAGGCCCCGGGGAGTTCATGGTGTCCAGCGGCTCCGTGACTGACCAGCCTTCCCTGCCCCTATGTTCACTGAGGTATATACTCCCATGTACATATGTGGAGGGGCCACATACTCCCTGGAAGGGTCCCTCTAAGTTCCGCTGGAAATGCCTTTTACATATATTAATCTGACACCTTCCAGCCAAATTTACTTCCTCTTAAAATCCAATGTGTGAGTGGCCTCCTGAATTCTCCTGGCCAACAGGTGGAATTTCTCCTTGTGCCACCTCTCTGCCTAACTGCCAGTATATCCAGTAATGTTCATGCCTGATCGCCCTCTGGGGTCGTGTGCTCCTTCAGAGAGGCTCCCAGCCCGAGGCACCTTTGGGGCTTT